TCTCTCTCTCTCTCTCTCTCTCTCTCTCTCTCTCTCTCTCTCTCTCTCTCTCTCTCTCTCTCTCTCTCTCTCTCTCATTTCAATGGAAATTCAATGGATATTCCCAATGATGACAATATCAATAACATAACACTTCTCATAATACCTCAATTCAAATGAATAATGCCCTGTCCTAAATGTAACGCGTATTTTCTGTACCTTTTAACAAAAGTATCCTCATTATCAAATTAAAAACGAAAAGAATTATGCAAAATCCTGAATCATTGAACGTAAGAAATGTTGAACGTAAAATGACAATATTTTAGTTTTTCTTTTTTATGTCACATAAAATTGTTAAACGTCAATATTTCATAATATTTACAATCGCCAGCTGTGTGAAATAAACAGTACTGTTTACAGCGTTTATAATACGATTGTGTGTATTGCACAAATTCTTTTTAATTGTTCAATTATCAACCATAAAATATGTCTATTATTTTATAACATTATTATATGGAACGTACTTTATGGAATATCAAATGTTTGTCATAAAATAGTAAAGATTCTTGATAAGATAGCAAAATTGTCTACAAAATTAGAAATATTTAAGGAACTGTAAAAGCAAGAAAAAGTAGGTGGGTTTATCCTGCTACGAATCAATTTCCGTATGCAAATAGTGTGATAGCAATTTTCGCATAAGAGAAGTTTCGTCGACGCGCTAAACTTTAGCTTGCGAATTTATCCCATTGAAATAGTCCGATTCACAATGCAGAGAATAATTTCGTAATCAAAAGAGCGTGAAATTGTTATGACAATTGCAATCAAGTCCAAAATTCATGTTTTTTTTGCTACATAAAACAAGTTTTAAATAATCTTTAATTTCTCTCAGAACCATAAAAGATCGAAAAGTATGAACCTTCTTATTAATTCTTCCGGATTTTATTTGCATTAAAATATTTATTTAAATAATTAAAAAATTTACAAATAGCAAGTACTATAAAATTAATAAGATATTGAATAGCTCTGCAAATATTCATCGAAGATGATACGTCTTTATTACTAATTATAATCATGCCATTTTTCGCCAATTTTGACACTCTGTTAAAATTAAATCAATAATAATTCTTGCAATATAGCAGTAAATATTCCATTCATATCAAAACTAGCACAATAAATAATTAACACGATGAAATTCTTTTCATTAGCCAAGCTGTGTTTTGCAGAAACGTCAACAAGCAATTCTCGACAAATTTACTTGGCACATCGATCATAAGAAATAGAATCATCTCACTTGAAAAGAAAAAATGGGACAAGGAAAGAGAAAAGAAAAGAAACGTTGACGATAAATTAAATCTGCTTTTAAGAACCGCCATTTTTCCGCTGGAAACGCTCATTAGTGCTGATTGTTAGAGAACTTGTTCATCATGGTTGCATTCCACACACGTCGCGATACAATTTAGCAATAGCGTTGTGTGTAACGTCCCGAAACTGATGAAATCAATCTACGTTTCAATTTCACGTAACAAATAAATTGAATTAAACAAAAATATCGTATTTACTATATCGTTAACACTTTGACTATGTTTTTAGAATAACACAGCAATATTAAACGTGTAGAAAGATAAAAGTAAATAAATTGTGCAGTAAAAATGTGAACAATGTCATCGGAAACGGCACGATTGATTCCTTGTGCATAATTATCAGGCCTTTTTTATCAGGTATCTTTTTCACATATGTATGTCATATGCATTTTTATCTAATTATACCAACTGTACAGTTTTATAAAAACTGTACAGCTTTTTACTATAATTTTATCTCGTATAAAATACGACGCATTGAGTTCATCAAGCGTGATTCAAGAACCAAACAGATAAGTGCGCAACTAGTCCATTTCATTTGCTGTTGCAAAATCGCGAACAACAAAAGTACAAATTCTTGAAAATAATTTACAACAAGAGGAATGAAAGCTATGACCTGTGTGTTGTAGATAATAAAGCACAATGTTTGCTAATCAAGACATTATTCTCGCGTGAACGACATAAATCACCCTGAACGAATAATGCACGCTCGTATTGCCGTTCATTGTGAGTTCGAATTCTGCTGCTTTTGTGCACGGGTATCAACGACGATAACACGAGCAACATGGAAAAGCGGAGGACGAACATACTCTCGATTGGAAATAGTTTTGACGCTTGCTGAATGAGTCAGGTCAGGCAATCACTAAGCGGCAATTTATGCGCTAACATCATCGATCGAACAAGGGGAAAACATTTGTTCCTTAACTCATTTAACGACGGCGACGACGACAAGCTGCTCATTTTCTAATTGTAAGACACATTCTTGCCATTCTCATCATTTAAAAATTAATTCCATCACAAAGACCGAAATATCCACCAAGTCCGCGTATAAAATTAAATAACTCGGAAATTATATATTACATTATAAATTGTTAATGTATATATAGAATATGAAAAACAGCTAATGCCATAACATGTCATTTTCAGCGCAAACACAACAATATATATGTATACAATATATGTATATGCATAAACTTATTATTATATTATCCTGACAATTATTATTATAAATGATTTATTCATTCCGTCCTGCCTTGCAAAACGTAATTGCGTGATTCCAAGTAAATATTTAAAAATTTATACTCGTTTAGAAACGTTTGCGATTGAAACTTTCAAAGAGTTTAAAATACATCAGATTATACGTTTGCGTACATAATATGTGATTTGTATATCTACATAGGATTTTTCGGTAAAGATAATCATTCATGGCGTGTAAATCAGATGAAAATAGCTCTATACGTTCATAGTTATAAAATTTTTTCTACGATATATTCCTATTAAAATAATAATATCGTGTCTGTGAAATCGTCGAAAACAGTGGAACTGTTTATGAGAATTTTCAATTTCGTTTGCGTCAAAGCTTACAATGAGATATGTCGTATGAAACATTTTCACTTTTGTTCCAATCAATAAGCAACTTATGTAACGCGTGTCTTCGCTTAATTATTGTCTCTTAATCGTTTAATTAATATTTTATTTTTATTTAAAATTGTTTTTATATATGATACGTAATATATATTTTCGATTGCTTTTCTCCAAATTAGCAGAACTAGTAAATTTTTAAATTTTCAAGTAAACATTGAAAACCGAAAACTGGAAAACCGATCGAATAACATATACCTATGTGTAATACTTTTCCTCAGAAAAATATTTAAAAAATATTTAATTAAATTTTCTACGGCTAGATTTCTTAATTTGATATAAATTGTTAAATTTATGAAATTAATTAATTTAACTTTTATTTACGACAGTAGGCAATGTCCTTCAAGCTGACAAAGCAAATTACGTTCAAAAATCTAAGAAAATCATCTTTATGTATTATAGATGTAAATATTGCTTACCCTACAATCGTTGCAGGTGTGAACAACAGAGTATGTCTGACGGCAGTCAAAACGTCTCATTATCTCCTCAAACTCGCAATAGAGTCTCGAAGCCATATCGTCGATGAATAATAGATTCTTCAATGCTGTGCGGCATTTTAGATCACCGTTTAGTACATCCTCAAGCGGGCCACCTTTGCCGGTCGCCAGGGCGTTGACCACCACGTGCTCGCAACAGTGCCGCAGACGCAACCCCTTTATAAACCAAAATCGATTCTGCCTTGTGGTTGAAAAACTGTGCGCGCTATTTTTACCGAAATCATTCTGACAAATGTCCGTTGGACTGCCCAACTGTTTGTGCGATTTATCAAGGTAAAAAGAACACCGATTCATCTGTACACTCTTTTTCATCCCGTTTCCGTTGTCAGCGTTTGTCTGCGTTGTCATTCTCGTGTTGTTGAACCCCGCACTCTTGATTACCTCGAAGAAATAATCCGACGTTTTTGCAGCGCATGGTTTTGGGCAGTGCTTTGATATGTCCACTGGACCACAACTACCGTGAGACTCCTCCGAATTTTTTCTCGTCAGATCGCACGCCGACAACCAGGGATTTATTTGGTTCATCTCCCAGAGATATTCTTTATAGATGTGACCGGGTTTTTTCTCCTCTTCTTGCTGCAGCTCTTCCGCTCTTCTGTTCTTCTCCTGCTGTGATCCTTGCGCTTCAGGTTGCTGAGAACAATCGTCATGATCGCTACTCTGAACGTCCGGTTGACGACTTGATGACGCGTCCGACGGCTTAGACTTCTCTCGTTGCACGGGGCTTTTTGCGTTCGAGAGAGTCGGGTTTTGTGCAAAAGTGGAAACAAGATGACCCGAAGGACTAGTCGAACACAGCGAGGGCCATGCCAGAAGGCATAATGCAAGCAGCAGCAGTCTGTAGCTCCTGCGTACATGCAGTTTGTCCCCTCTCGTCCCTCCTCCTCTTCCTCGTCCTGCTTTCCTCCTATTAATTAGTTTTTGGAATCGGGTAGTGGCAACACGTGTTATCACTACCCGATTCCAAAAACTAATTACCATTTTCTCTTGCTACATCGTCCTCCTCCTTGTTTTTGTTCTTGTCCGTCAGACACTTGTACTCCACGGCCGGTAGCACTACTCAGACATAAGTCACCATCCGAGTCATTTCCTCGCGCGCTTCTCGTCGAATGCGACGGATCCACTTTTGTAAGGACTCACTTACGTGAGTTACGAAATGTGTGAAAAGGTTATATTATAAAAAGAGCGCAACGACATATACAAAAGGTATGTGAATACAGAAGGTAAGATCGTATGAATTTAAATGGCGTAGAAAAAACGAGACTCTTCAAGGCCTAATTAAAAAAAAATACCAGATTAATTTTATGAATACGAGAGATAAACGAACAATCTTGATAAGACCTCCTCAAAATTGTTCATTGTTCTCCGAGAAGAGATTGATTTGAATTTTTTGAATGTTTTTAAAATGCTGACGCCTTAAATGATCCTGAATATGTGTTCGTCGCACTCTTTCTACATTTTTTTAAATTCACGTGTTTTTTGTATTCACATACCGATTGTACAACGTCTGATCACGTCGACGAAGCGGCTGTGACTGCCGCAAGAATCATCTTTATAGCGTCGACTGGAGCGCCAGCGATGCTGGCGCTGCAATCTGTTTTATAGTTAAAAGTCTAGTACTTTTTAATCTGTTTTTTTATACAAAGTATTCTGCATGTGTACTTTTCATTGAATTAATTAGTTATTTAAAAATTATATGTTAGTGGCAAATAAACTATTAATGGTGGCTAAAATTATGTTAAATTTCAACTTTACAATGTTACTTGGGCAAAAAAAAAGCAAAATCAGAGCTATGTTTAATAATTGTTTTTATTTTGTATATACTCTTCGGAAAGAACAGCTTCTTCTGGCTATTTAATTCCACTGTATAGCAAATAATGAAAAAAAGGATAATGAGAGTAAGAGAAGAAATGGTATATAAGATATCTTATAGTATAAACGCGAGACAAGTGTCACAGTGTCATTTTTTATTATCTTTAATATAATTATTAAATGTGATTTTTTTTTAAATTATTCATGCAATATTTTATAGCTAACAATAAGTATGATTAAATTCAAAGGCTTGTTGATTGTTATATTAACTGTTTAATTAAAAGTTTTATAATTAGTTGTAAATTTCTTACTTTTAAGCCCTCAGGGTCCCTTTAATGGTTATGAAATTTTACTGTGAATTGTCGGTTTTAAATTTAGCCAAGGAAACAGTATTGCCAACATTAATTTGGGTGCATGTGAGGATCAATCTTAGCGTTCACGAATCGAACAATAGTGTAACATAACCTTTCGTCAACTAAACTTGAACGAAATTACTGGAGTTTTGTTTATTAGTATCGCATCGATTTTTTTTCTTCTGGCATTTAGTGGATTGTGATTATCACGCAAGAACTGCTAAACACGATTGATATCAGATCGTATCATCGATGCTGCATGATTCAACCAGCGCGTGATGATCACATAATAGCGGCGTACGCACCGCAAGAATGGCAAGCTATTTATCCATCGCGAGAAATGATTTTCCCAAATAATCACGGACAGCAATGAATCAGATATTATGTTGCCATCGACTGGTTACTTCAAGACGATAAATTGTCCGTTTTATGATAACGGATCGTGCGATCGACCTTATTGTCACTTCAAACATGCCAGACGAGGTGAGAGTATACGACCTCAGTCTTTTGCACGCAATTTTATCTACAATAGTCATTCCTTAAGTTTTATTTTTGTTTTGATTGGATAAATTTTACAAGAAAATTTAATGCACATTGAATCAGTATAATTTTTATGCTACCAAATTGTAATTTTTGAGATAACATTTCAGATCTTTTGTCCATGTTCTTTATGTTTATGAAAACATACAGTATTAGAGAATCCACAAACGTGTTGCATCATGTTATTAAAGACTATTGTAAAAGCACATTGTTATATATAATATATGTGCTTCTATCCAGTATCATATTTTTATAGTTAATTATTGATTGTTTTTCATATCAAGTAGAATATAAGAGTTAAAAATTTAATGTATGAGTTAAATATTTAGTTCTAGATGTTTAATGAAAGTTCAGAATTTATACAAAAGCGATCAATTATACATGAATAAATGAGTAATGTGTTTTTTTTTTATTGGCAGAAGATACAGGAAGCACAGTTGGGGTGGTGGAAGCCCAAACAGCGGGACAAGCACAGGAAAACAAACCTGCTGATGTTGTGGCTTCAAATTCCAATATGCTTCAACATTTAGTGACGGAAGCTGTGAAAAAAGTGCTTGCAGATCAGGAAGTCACAAATACCGAAAAGGTTTCACAAAACATTGTCTCTCAAGTAGTGGAAGGACTCAAGCCAACTCTTGTCTCTGGTTCTGCTACCTCTGTACGCAATGCAACACCAAATATAGGAAAGCATATTGCAATTCCTCCAGCTGTTACAAGACCAGTCGCGTGTGTTTACAATCCAACACCGATAGCTGAACTGAAGAAACGGCACATACCGGTGATCTCGTATATGCCAACCAGAGAGAGTAGAGTAGCTGTGAAACGTAAACCCTCGCCAGAAAGGGCTAAATTATGGTTAAACGATATTCAGGAATCCAGCAGTTCTCAACAACCTGAAGTTACATATAAACCCACCGCAATAGTCAACTCGACTGACCAGGATGCTATACAAAATTATGTACCTACTGTTAAATCAGATTTACTTTTGTCAAATTCATATGAAGATAGTAACTCGAATGATTATCAGTCCAAATTTAAAGAAGAATATTATCCGAGATCTAAGAAAAGAAGAGAAGAGTACGTTCCTAAAAAAATTAAAACACCATTGAAAACAGTCCAACAATTAAATGATACTACTTTGAATTCGTTTGAGCCAGAATTTAATGTGATCGATGAGATTCTCACTACTGGTCGCACTGCTCCTAATGTACTGGAACATGTCAAAGCATCTGCTAGTGAAGATTCTCAGGATTATTCTTTGGAAATGGAATCTAAATTCTCTGATGATGAATCTATTGAAGATATATCCAAAGATGAAGATAAGGAGAGCGTTAAAAAGGCTGAGCAAATAGAAGATGTTAATGAAAAAGAAAAGGAGAATCTACAACATACAAGACCTGACACTGTAGATAAACAAATGAGCAATAAAGATAAAATTTACAACAATCACTATGATGCCAAAACAGGTGATACACAAACTAATGATAGATCTAAGCAACATAAAGCTAATTATGCAAGTAAATCGTCAGACAAAAAAGAGGAAAGTATGAAAGAGAACACTGATAAGGATAAGGAAAGACGCAAAGATCACAATAAAAGCAAGGAAAAAAATAGAAAAGATTATCACAGTTCTTCAAAAAATAAAGAACGATGTAAGCATAGATCAGATTCTAGAGATTCTAGAGATAGACATGGTTCCTCTTCTAGTAGAAACAAAGATAAAATAAGAAGCAGTCGTGATGGTAAAAATTCTTTACGTAGTAAGGAACATTCAGATTCACGAAAACATAGACGTGCCTCTCCGAAGAAAGATCGGAACAATCATCACAAATCTAGCCGACACGATAAACACAAATCTACATCAAACTCATCTAGCTCCAAATCGAATAAGCATACATCAAGCAAAAGCAATAGAAAGCATCACTCAGAGTCGACTCGAAGATCTAGTGACTCCTCCAGGAAATCTAGCAAATATAAAGAAAGTAGTAGTGAAAAAAATTCATCAGATAGATCTGATAATTCTGAAGATGGTTATCATTCCTTTTTAAATGATGAAATTTTGGAATTATCAGATTCCGATCACGATGTACAAGAAGAATGCTTAAAAATTTTTCAGGTAAATATCGAAACACAACCTCTAATATTTATAATGGTAATATTTATGATGTATAATATTATAAATAATCCCTCACAGAGTTTATTCAACATTTGGTTTATATGTTTATCTTTTTCTATTACTATTAATATTTAAATAATTCAGATACGAATGTCAATTAAAGATACTTAAAATTTTCTGATTTATTGAGTGTAAAATAACAATTTTCTTATTTATAAAAATGATTTTAATATATTAGAAAGAAGCTTTAATTAGTACTGCTTGTATTTATTTATTTTTAAGGAATATCAAGCCTCTGATTATCCAAAACTAGTATCAGTGAAAAAATCTTTAAAACAAGAAACCGAAGATGTAGAGGAAGTCGGTAAAAAAAGGGTTGCACATTCTTCAGCAGCCACAACCGTCACCAGACAGCTAGGTCCTAGTCAGCCACCAAAAAAACTCATAACTCCGCAGCAGAAAATGTACGAACGATGGCGTTTGATGAAAGAAGCGGCTGCCGTAAAGGCTGCAGAGAAGGCAACAGCTGATATGAAGACTCAAGTTACAATTGCATCAGCAGTTCAGTTCGCGAGTAATTTACATAAAGAGCATACGGAGTCCACCTTGTCAATGAGTAGTGGTGATCAGTCGAATACAAATGGTAGGTTGAATACATAAGATTTATGTGAGTTAATTATGTAATTATAAATTGTTGTTAGTAATGCATATTGCAGGTCGCATTAGAATCGCTCATGTCCCATATGCCAAATCTCTTGCAATGGAAAAGAAAAAGGTCACAGTAACAATAGGAAAGAGCGGGGATGATAAAGAAATGAATAACAAAACCATAGCGCAAACTACGAAAGGTGGTATGCGTGTTGCTCATGTTCCACAAACTGTAAGTTTTAATGTAAAATTATATAAAGCTATTACATATTTTTGGCACAATTTGTCTATTCTAGTTTTTATGTTGAATACAAATTCTCTGTCTATAATGAATTATAATATATCTAGTATGTTCAATTTATGCATTATGTAGATACCTCATCTCGTACGTCCAGAACCACTTCAAGTTGCTACTCAGAAGTTTCCCTTAAATGTTCGTCAGTATTATATTAATATGATGCACGACATATGCGTTCAGATTTATACGAGTGGCGATGATGCGGCGCAACGTGCTGTCAAAGAAGAATTTGCGTGTCATGAAAGATGCAAAGCTCTTGCAGTATACAAAAATTCATGTATGTTGGCAGCTCATAGACTAAGAAAAGAAGTCGATCAGAGTACAACCGATGAGAAATCGGCTGGCTCGAGTTTCGGTATGGTATCTCATGAAGCAATGCTTGCCGGTAAATCGAAAGGTTCTTGGAGCATAGTCAAGACCAAAAGAAATGTGATAAATCTTAAAGGATCTGCGCTTTACAACATGCTCAAGAAATGGATTTTGACAGAAACACAACTTAGAGATAACGGGTTTCCGCGTAAACATCCAAATGGTACAAAGGTAAAATAAAAAGGAATTAATATAGATTTGTAGAAGTTGTTAGAAATTAAATGATAAGACAAACAATAATTAAAATTGTGATATATGTAAAAAATTCTTTTTTTTTTATTGAAATAGCATTTTGTGTTTAACAAGATATATTTTATAGGGGCAGGCGAAAGTGTACGTAATAAATGCACGGAATCAAAGTATTTTATCAAAAGTGCCTAACGAAAGAATATGCAGCCGATGTGGACAAGCGTATATGGTGGATAAACAGAGCTTTCCTATACTACAACAAAATTGTATATATCACTGGGGAAGGAAGTTCACAATAAGAGGCGAGGGCAAGTATAGTTGTTGTCAGCAATACGGATCTGCTACTGGTTGTTGCGACGCAAAGACACACGTATGGGATTACACAGATTACGAAAATCTTCGTGGTTACGTTAAAACTTTATCGAAAGGTATGGTTTCAGGTTTTTGTATATATAATATACAAATGTGTCATATTAAATACAAATTCTTTGTCTATATGTGTCTATAATTAATTGTAATATATCTAAGTTTTTCAATTTACACATACGGATATGTATTTTACAATTATATTAATAATTTTTTATATGCAAAGATGTTCCTATTGACGAACAAGGCGTTTATGCGCTTGATTGTGAAATGTGCTATACTACACAAGGCTTAGAACTAACCAGAGTGACAGTTATTGACGAAGATTGCAACGTGATATATGAAACATTAGTCAAGCCACAGAATTCAATAATCGATTATAATACAAGGTAAATACAACAAGATTTACAATCGATTAGATATGTTTTCAAGATATAAAGCAATAAATAAAGTAATTTTATGTATATAATTTTCTGTAATAGATTCTCAGGGATTACAGAAGAAGATATGAAAGATGTAACAACGACTATGTTAGATGTACAAGCTACACTATTAACAATGTTCTCGAGTAAAACAATCTTGGTAGGTCACAGCCTTGAGAGCGATTTTAAAGCTTTGAAGCTGCTCCATGATACCGTTGTGGATACTAGCGTCATGTTTCCGCATAAAAATGGATATCCGCAAAAACGAGCATTAAAAAATCTTTGTTCAGAATATCTCAGAAAAATTATACAAAATGATGGTGAGCTAAATTTTTCATATAAAACTACGCAGATTAAGGAAAAAAAAAGAATTAAATTTAAATATTTAATAATCTGTATTTTTCAGTCGGTGGTCATGATAGCAAAGAAGATGCTGTTGCTTGTATGGAGTTGGTTCAATGGAAAGTAAAGGAAGAAGCGAAATTGCAGTGAGCGAAATGTAATTACAATGAGCAGCATATAAACAAATATTATCGCGATTACTGTATGTTTGTTACAGTTTTTGCCAACGGATGCGCCGACTGGTAATGTCGCGCAAACTTTACTGCACTATGTATTATACTCTGTGTATAAATATGTAATATAACCTCATTACACACGTCGGCTTAAGATTTTTTTTTCAGATTAAATTGGACATTGTAAGAGATAAAAACACATATGCGATATCAACTCTCATGACATTTACTAGAATACAAAGAGAATCGATATGAGAATTTTCTCGATTCTGATATGCATCACAATATTTCGATTAATATTTTTATACTTCGTTATATTATTACTTATTTATATTTTATAGCATTAAAGAAACGAGATATGTTGCACCTGTTTGTTGACTGACTCAACCTTGCAATATAGATATACTTCAAGAATCTGCAATAAAACAGAAATACAACTTGATATTATATATATTTAGCTTAAGTAATAAATTTCTTTTTTTTTATATTCACACCTCATTAATTCTTTCGGTACAGAGGATTGATACGTAGCCTAAAAAAATGTTCGTGTAGATCTATGCATAGATATGCTGTTCAAGTAATGTTTATTGCAACCGCAAAGTGCATGTCAACATGCCATTCTAACCTATAAATCTGACAAACCGAGCTGATAGTAACTATTTCACGTTGTTATGCTAAGTACCAATAAAATTAATTTTGTTTTCGTAGTTAATTGATGATATCTTTCAAATTAATTACTTGAGATAGATCTTGGCCTTATTAGACGCGCTAAACTTTTTTTGCTGATGACACTTGCACTTTCCGCGAGAGTACAATTGATAATCTCATCGACCCATGTATCCCGAGTGACACCGAACAAAAGCCGAAGTCAACCGATGATGCTGACACGTCGGGCTGTGTTATTATGTAGGTCAATGCCCCAAATGTCTAGCAAGTGTCTAGACGATAGAATAAAAATAGACTGTCGCATTCCGTGCGCCGCGCGTTTCCGCGTACCGCGTCTATTTTTAGATGCACCCACTGAATTTTTAAAACGCTCTAACTTTGCGAAAAATTGACGTAGCGACCTGCGACAAAGACGGATCTTCTCGGTTTTTCATGCTGCAAATGTTTGTGCACACTGCACATGCTCTTATCATGAGTCATGACACATATATATGTATTCTATATTAGACTCAAATAAAGTTGAAACATTTTATATATACGAATTGTTGAACATGTAAATGTATTTTTTTAATGATTGGCCAATTCAATTGATCTTGATACCGCTCTCGATGCATCGATGCATGCATCTAAAAGGCACGTATACGACGACGACGTTTTCTCGAAATAAAAATGCACATTTTAACATTAATGTACATTTTATTCATTTTTATGCTTTAAAATCTTATATTATTTGACAGACCTTTAGTTCGATTTGTTGAAATCTTACATTTTTAAGAAAGAAATGATCTAGAATGTTAAAATGTACATTTTAACAATCTAGTTCATTTCATAGAAAAAAGACAAAACATTTTTTGTACATTTTATTATACATATTTTACAAAATTACATTTCAATGAGATCTACGTCAAAATATTTCTCATTTATGCTGCACGACGGTTTTATTTAACTGTTAAAAGCATAATTTCAGTTAGACATCGCAATTACAACGCAATTATTGGTGCGCTACACTTCATCGTTGTAAAACTTGTGGTTTATGCCGTGATAATTGACTACAGATATTGCCAGTATATTTACGAAGTCGGTCATAACGATGTAAAATGCTTTTCTTCTTTTAATTCTTTAGTATAATGAGAAGCACATTTTCGAAATACACTGTTCAATCTTTCTATTAAAATATTACCCAGTCCTATCTTTTACAAGACACACGGTTTAACACAATACTGTATACAAAATATTTTATATTTTTTCTTGCCATGCTATTATTGTCTGTACGTTTGTCATTCTAGAGCTTATGTAACAAACGCTATTTTAAGCTACAGACAATTTTTAAACAGTTATGTTTTTTTTTCGATATATTACGCCAAGACGAGAGTTTGCAATCTGGCGATCGAATGGCAGCATTGTTCTTCTCTGTGATATCAATCTTCCTTTACAATTTTTACAAGTAGCGAGAATAAAATTGTTTAAAATATATAGTGTTTTTACTTTATTTGTAAAAATTAGCTTTGTACAAGAAATCCTGTATATTTGTTCAACGTTTTACAAAATACTTTATATATCCGTCCTCTTTATATATCCATCCGCATATTATTGTCTGCGTATTTATAGCACGTTTCCTCTTATAATACGATCATTGTGCTCGTCAAAATTAACAGATATATAGAAAAATTTTATTGTTTTATAAAATGAAAGAAGTAACATTTGCTATGGCATTACAAATAATGAATAATCAATAAAATACTTGTACAACAAAATATATATGCACAATCTAAAAAAATTAACGTTTACAAATAAACGAATACAATTTTCAGTTTATTTAATTCACGGTATTATGCTTATCATAGAGCCAAGTGATAATAAAATAATTCGACAGAAAACGTTAAATCAATTCAAGCGCTGTTAATCGTGTAACGCGGTTGCAATGCACCGTACTATAAATTTTTTTCTCGTATTAGTGCATTGTGCTATTTTAATCGGATCGACTTGAACGCAGTTGGCTGCAAAATACACATGCCAAAAAAGGGCGTGTGAGGTGTTTCTCTCAGCGGAATCTGCGGATATCTGCTAGTCGCAATGTTTTAGGCAATAGTAATAATAAGCGATAATACTGAACATGTATGTACTGAAAGGCGGTATCGATTCGGATGCGAATCCCACTCCTGTCACGAAGGCTAAATATTAGTCTCCGATATGGCGCCTGTACACAATGCACGTAAAATACGTACATTACACTATAATATGTACATGGAAATATAACGACGCATTCTGCTTAATGGAATATCTTAATTTACAATACTATACAGTGTACTATATGTTGTATAAGCTGACAAATGTATCGAGCGAAATTATTTTCGACCCAAGTGTCGCTGCGAACATTAAAACCTCTTTGTTGTTGAACACAAAAACGTGTCGTACTACATGTTATAAGATTATGTCGCTATGTAAATTAAATTATTCGCACGATGTCAGAGGTAATCGTCAACGAGGCGCGTCAACTAATTGTAAATGCACATTTTAGATTTGAAATGCTACTTGTCATTGCATTTCCTCGAAACAATGCTACCTCCACCGTGCACAATTTCATCAAGGTTCATCCTTGCGTTCCTTGCGCATAATTTGCAATTAACTAATGATAGCTCGATACAGTTAATCGAGCGAAATTTGTGTGATTATATTTTCTTAACAACTGCGCACGCGTCTCTATATCAACTTTAGATCCTAAGCTTCAATTATCGCATTTGTATATTTGCATAATTTCAATTCTTTTTTCGTATATAGTATATTCTATAAGTAAGACTAATTTTTGTGCGACTATAAGCACAGTTGACATCGCTAATCGGCATATAGTTATCATTTATACGCTTCATTATAAACTTCGTTCATATAATTAAAGTTGCATTTATAGCAGCCTGGAAATTTATGTGATGTTACATTGTTATGATATTAGTAATTAATACGAAAGTGTTAATTGATTTAAAAAATTATATAAAATGAAAGTATAATAGATCTTTAACATCATGTTAAATAATATCGTTGTGACTTTCCGATTAAATCGTCGATGACAAATCGAAGATTGGATTCAATAGGATATACTTTCAGACGATCACAGCCTTGTAGAGATACCTTTTCGAGCCGACTATGTTCACTCGTGCGTTACGCCCGCCAGAAAATGCAAGAATTCTGACTTCCTGTAAACAAATGCAATTTTTTTCGAACATTCGTAAATTGTTCCAATGACATTAATTAAAGCATGCATGCGATAAATTGATGTCTACGTTTGCAGACAAATTATTCACCTCTAATTAACATATCAGTAACAATTTACAGGCCAATTATGGAATTTAATCTTTGATTTTTGAATCCAACAGATCGTAATGATTATTTGACATGATATTTATGATTCACTGCATTTTTATTTTGCGTAAAAATATTTTCTCAATCAGTTTCTTCTTAACATACTCGTATCAATTATTTATTTCATAATCATTAAATTAATTAATATTATAAATAATATAAGGACGGTGCTGTAAACGCGGCTATAAACTGTAGACAGACTTTGTAATTACACGCTAAAATGACAATTGATATGCCAATTACCATTGTCGACGTCTACTATGCTCATAGTCACACCAAAATTAGTCTTATTACGGTCAGGGCGCGTCGAAATCTTGATCTCCGACCAGGTACAAAAATTGGAAGGCAATCGCCAGCAGGCTGATTCCGAGTAAGTCACCCATCGCGGTCAAGTACGGGATCGCCGAATTGTCAGGATCAATCTTCCGCTTCCACATCCAGTGGATCATTATGAAAGCGATGTAGAGAAGCGCCGCGACCTGCAGCATCGCCGCGCAGAGATAAACAAAGATGAAAAGTGGCGTCATCGACGTGTTGCCATCCTTCATGTAATTAATCAGGTAAATAAAGATGATGTGACCCGGTATCACCATTGTCATCAGAACTCTCGTTGTCCTAGCATGCATACCTGAAGCGGGAAAACGGCGACAAATACATTTCCTCGAAGAAATTATTTACTTCCAAGAGAAAGTTTATATTTTTATCATGACGCAAAAGAATACCTTTTCCGAAAAAATTGGCTATAGGCGTGATAAAGATTACGGGATGCGTGTGACCGGGTGGGATTAGAAGCGTGCCGAGCTCAGCTTGTTTGTGAAGGGCCGTTGATATCCTACTGGCTTGGACGGCCACCAGATTTCCACCGACGCCATTGATGACCGGTTGGAAGACCGTCAAATTCTCGAAACGTGATACCATGAACTCAAGTATAAGACCGCCGCAACTGCCGGAGATTTCGTGTTATTGACTTTTCTTTACTACAAGAGTTCGACTTGAAATATAGCATAATAATTTTATCAACATTTGTCATCAACAAGATTACTTATCGTTAATACTTAAAAATTGAAAGCTGAAGTCCTAGCTTTATTACCTGCTGATCAACATAGCCACCATGACTGGGGTCCAGCCAAAATAGAGCACATCGTTGGTGTACTTGTTCCTCTTGGCGATCCACACCCAGAGCGGTGTCACCAGGACGTAACAGGATATGACGAGGGGCGCTACCCAGTCTTGCTTGTCTATGCTCTCGTAAAGTACGGTAGCGATCCACGAGAGGAGAGCCAGCGATGTGATGTCACCTAAACTGGCGGCTATTGGCGTGGCTACGTTGTCCGGATTGATATGACAATGACGGGAGAAGACGATAACGCCCGCGGTAATAAGGCCCAAAACGAAGGAAGCGAGGGATGCGGTGACCAGACTGCTGGCGCACAGTAGATAGGCGTGATCTAAAGAGACCGTGCCGTTGCGAAAGGCACCCATTACAATCGCCACCACGGATCCAAGGAAGCCCACCACTATCGCTTGACACTGCGGAAGATGAGGGCAACTTTTGAAAATGTAAAAAAAGTTAGATATCTTTATTTCTTTCTTTTGTCTCTTCTGACGATTTTATGAATCATCAGAATTTTCATTGCATTCCTCACAATCAAAAACCTTCAGCGAAGATCTCGTTTTTCAGCTGATTTTAACTCAAATGTGCACTGAATATTTAATTGGTAAAATATCTATAATGTTAGAAAAAGTTAGAAAGCAACGACGAGTGATGGCCGTTCGAAAAATTTACGCTGAATCCAAATATAACGGTATACATTTTATAATTTACATTGTATTTAGTTACAATTGTTTGATTAGGATGATTCTATTCACAACTAGAGAGTCTGTTTTGAATAAGAAACAATTTTTTTAAATGTCAGTTTATTCAACATAATTCGATTCGTTGGAGAGGAAAGAAAGAGAGAGAACGTATGCGTATCATTTAATTGCACGGTGTTTTGTGAGGTTTGCAACTATATGCCGCGCGCACATGCATGGAAGATTGTATAGCAAACAGTCGGCTTTCCGAAGGTCGTCGTCTACGTCTACAGCGCAGAACACATAATAAAATAAAATCGTGGCGCCAATGATAAGACGGCGGGACTGTGTAGCTCAATTTACCAAATCGAGCAGCTAGGAAAAATGTTACTTTCTCAGAGTCGTGTTACGCCGGCTCGTTTTACAATTAATCGCTAACCACGGATCAAATTGCCGCGTCGCTTCATGGTATTTTTTTTCCAATTTGCGACTTCCAGGATGTATCAACAATAACGATCGTTTCATGATTACCAAATAGCAGCAATTTTGTAAAATCGGAAATTATCGTAATTTCATCAATTACTATCTGTTGGAGAAATCACGAGAATTCCGTGGCGTTAATTAACTAATTCTTGAACTTGAACTTAAAAAATACATAATGCAAGTACTCGCGGATATATTTACGATGTTAGATGATAAGAACCGGATGATTAATAGCGTAAAAACTTTTCCATACGCTGCGTCGTTATAGTTTGTTAAATAAGGCGCGGTGAATTGCGCTCCTTCGGAAAGTCAGAAGGTCGGAAGAGATCGACGGAGTAGACGCTTCAGAGGAAAAATACACGATGTCAAATTGAGTCAATATGCTTTTTGCAATGTATTTGTATGACGGAATTAAGTCGTGACTTCTTTAAATGACAACTGACAAATATTAGTGTTTAATTGTGGAATATCTAGTTAGAACCAGTTTGACGAAAGTAAAGCTAAGTGCTAACGTGCGGAGTGTAATTCGCTTTAAATACGCATCGTTATAACACATCTGATGTCGACTTGTGCCTTTTTAATTAACTGTGTTTAAAATTGCCCTCAATACGTAAGATTTGCAGCGAGATAATTAGTGAAAATATTACAAAATTGCGTCTATTATTGTAGACAGAACTGAGTCAAATTTCTTTTACATTCAAACCGCGTCGGAAAAATTAATCTACTTTGGAATCTGATTAAATCGATGGTTATTCTCACCTGTATTAAAACGAGATTTCCAATGATCATACGCCATTGCTCTTTCGGCAAGTCCATGTGTCCGAGATTCGCTTGAGTAGAAAGACGCGATGCAAGAGTCATTTCTAAATTACCCTTTAGTCCTAAAAGTGCCGGTACCAGAATCATAAGCTCGTTGACTTTTTCGAAGACTACCCAGTGCTGCAAACGAACGTGAACATATTACTTTTCACAATTTCTCTTAGTAAAAAAATTTAATTAATAAATAGATAAAATGAGTAAAACGCAAACTGTCTCATGTCGCAAATAATTTTATATCTCGAAAAATCTTGGGCTCTTATTTCAAGTATTTAAAATTAAGAATATCTGCTTAGGAAAAATGGATTAAATCCATTGCGGTGAAGGTCGTAGAGTCTGAAGACTCTATTTACGAATATCATCGCGTGTCACTCAATTAGTTGCCACAAATGCCACACGGATATACCGACGAAATCGACATCGATCGACATCGTGTTGCGTAAGATATTTTCGCAAGAATTGTCCATGAGACTTGGTTGAAGAGAGTGAACATCGTTCATACTTGAACCACGTCGAGGACCAATCCGGCGCCCACCATGCCCAAGCCGGCGATGAGGAAGGGTATGAAAACCTGGATGGTGATCGCTAAGTACGACTCGAGCGGCTCGTTCTCATCAGCCACGCTGTAGATCTCGGCGACAACGTCCGGCAACCGGCCGCCATCCGCATCATCGTCAAAGATGGTCACCTCGAGATTGTCCTCGGTGGTACAATTCGTCGCGGCCGCTTGCCCATTGGTGGTGGTTTCCTTCGACTCGGAGGTGGTCCGTGAACGGCCGTCGGTCGGTGTCATTCTGTGGGAGTTCTGCTTCTCCGGAAGCAGGGGCTCCTTACATTGCTCACTGTCGACAAAAATGCAATTGCCGCTGGCTGAGTTGAAACAAAAAAAAAAAAACAAGCATCGAAAATCTCATTAACCCTTTGGCCACGATCGTTAACAGATGATAAGCTCAAAGCGTTACGATTTGTTAATATATATTTCGAAATGAGACCAACAAATATTATTCTGCGACTCGAGAATAAATGTGTTATACACGGCCGTCGAGTGTTTTCTCCATTTTAAATTGTAGAATGAGAACAATTAAACTCTGATTATAAGAATTGACATAAGAGCAACACTTTGATTAAAGTTCTTTTTAAATTGTAAATAAATATAATAGACCGTATGTTATTTCTGAAGCTCACACACATACTCGTCCCAGTTTTTCTTTGCGAGATGAATTATTACGCCAAATTACTCCGCAGTGAAATAGTTTATCACGCAATCGTCATGATTTGGCACACATATCTTGTTGATATAAAACTAGAAAACCAAAAGTCTGTAGTAAGCGATGCGAGGAAAATCGATGTTAGATGAATGAGCAGCGCACGTCTTTGGCGTGTGTGATTAATCATCGAATGTATCATGTGCATACACATTAAACCATTAATTAATAATTAATTCCGCTGGTTAATTTTATTTATAATCCCATGCCACATTAACATTGCCATTTCGTAATTTCTCAGCAATTAATCGTCGACATGGATTGCGCTGTTATGTTTCACTCAAAATTGATTAATATTTATTATTTTTCATTTTTCTCGTTACTTTCAATCAAGATTAACGATATCAATCAACATACTTTTCGAACTTGACGCTGACACTGGCAGTTTGAGGCAGTTGCGGCTTGTCGGGCGGCACTCGTGCCGGATGTTGACGCACCTGGTCCTCTATCATCTTTCTACTGAAGGCTGTGTGAAACTCGCAGCAGTAAATATATACCCATTTTTTTTTAGAATGATAAGGCTCGCGCCGTTGACAACGACGGCAGGGGTTATATTTTAAGACATAAGTGACGTAAATTACATAATTGTGTCATCTTCCTTTGAATCTTCCTTGATTAGATTTGCCCAAGTATCGCGGTTAATCACGGTGAAAATCAAAATATGAATCATCCAGTTGATGAAAGGTAAACAGCCTCTTCCCACGAAGAATCGCTGCCAAAAATTGTGATATTAATTTAGCATGAGCTTGATAGAGCACATAAAGTTCAAGTTATATTCAATAATCGGAGATTCACAGTTTGCTTGTAATAATGCTATTGTATAAAATTATTAAATTAGCGATATAATTGTTTAAATTAAAAAATTAATATCTTTAAGGCACGCGTAATTGTTTTCAAAAATTTGTATCAATCGTATCGAAATCAATTTATTTGCCAAATAAATTTTTTGTCACAAAGATTTCACATCAGTTTAAAAATTCACTTTTAAGAATTTTCCGATCATAAATTGAATTTATTCCAACTCTTTACACCAAAAATTGATTCTGCATTATCGGTTTTATTTTTAAATAATTGTTGAATCTGCAAATTTTATTTACGAAACACTGTGAAACGATATCGTATCGCCATATGTGCTGAAACACTTCGACTACATACGCGCTTTGACTGCATTTTCGTGATTGCGCCGCATTTATGAATAATTATAGCTACGAGAGCGCACGTGTTAGACAAATAATATTACGAATGGATGTGTTTTATACGCACCACGTGCATCTCTAATTAACATCTAACACGCTCAGTTTCCTTCAACATGAGTTATTTCTCGGAAGGAATTATGATAATTTATTTTGCGATATCATCGTAGCGAATACGTTTCATTACATGATTACAGTAATTTGCATTTGGATGACAATCATGCGTAAATAAGTCACCCACAGCGCCACAATCCACTTTATTTCTTTTTCTTATCTTTATCATTACTGACGGCGACTGAATTACAGACTGATTTTTACGCGAGCGCCAGATTTTCTTATTATCTATAGTTGAAATTCATAAACGCGCTTCGATAAATATGTACATCACGATTGTAGCGATAACGATGTTCAATCGCGCGGCGACCTTACGCGCGGAAATTGGAGCTGCTCAATTGAGGCCAGATCACAGCTGTTCGATTAAACAATATATCACTTTCATAATCCTAGCTGTAACATTAATATCTTGAGATCAGGGCATCTCGTATCGTATTTTAACTTGAAAATAAAAAGAAATAAATGCGATATATCAGATTATGACTATTTAAAAAGAAATAGAGTTTACTTATTTCAAACAATTTTATTTATTTAAATATTTAATTAAATATTTGATTTTTAATGGTGTAACTTTAGTTTTAAAATTGTCCAAAACTTTCCCTTTGTCAATTCAAAAATTAAAACTTTATAATATTTTGCAATTTATTTCTACCAATTCTATTAAATTGCATATATATTTTCTTCATTCAGAAAAAGCATTTAATTTTTAATTATCTTCAAGTAAAGATAAAATTTGTAATTGATAAAGCTGTTAGAATTGATAAAGTTCAATGGCAAACGTTGCGAGTTGCCCGACAATCGACCATGCGATGGCATTTGATATTCATTGTCTGGTCAGCTGAACCTTACGTCATACATCGACCGACTAGCTGAAGAACAGACAAGCAGGTCTGGAAAGCACGTTGCGTCGCGCGGATTGCACGAGTTCTCGTAACCTTAACCTACGCGCAATCAAGTCGTTGGAAAGCCTCGACGAAGCACTCGTCTATCGCTCATCTGTATCTCATGTCTTTTGCCCATCACTGTTTTTTTTTTTTTAACATTGACGAACAAGTAGCGACCGATTCGCGCGAACAACTCGTTCCCGAAAACACATGCTTGCACGCAGATCTTTGTCTGAGGTGCTTTTAATTGATTCGCAAATTCGATAGAATCTTTTGGAAAGCGTCACTAAAGCCTATCGATAGTTATTGGCTATTTATCTTGTATCTTGGGGTTTCGCGTAATCGAATTCAGCATCATACGCGGTAACGCCTTGACAGAAGATCACACAAATCGCGATGTCTACGAAAAGTTGAAGGATCCGTTTCACAGGAGTCTAACGTATTTATTTAATCTTTAGGAAGATAACTAAAATTAATTTTTTTTTAATTAAACAAATTATTTTTTCCAAATTCTTGAAAAAAAAATCATGGGGTAAATTAAACTCTTCTTGTTAACTATCAATTTAATTTTTGTAAACTTGTACCGCGAAAAATTGTATTTCAACTTTGCTTCAATTGTGTTACATTCGTGACATAAAAAGTTTTTAAAATTTCAAAATCATATCGAGCCAACTGAATATTAGTCCGCGGAAACTCTTTCGCTGAATGCGAATCGCCGGCATCGTCTCTAAAGTAAGTTTTTTTCTCACTAAAAGTGTCTCGTCTGAGACCAGTGAATTTCGACATCGAGTGATTTCTCCATTCCTCCGCTCGTACCTGGGTCCGTAGACGCCGTTTTAGGTGGACTCCCGTCGTTTTGAAGGCCAAAGCCCTCCGTCGGGCCCCTTCTGTTCAGGTCGTTGCTCGCCGGCTTCGTGCCCGGTGATCGGTTGTACGGCGCGAGATCAGCCTACGTCGAGCATCTGATGGTGGTCACCCGGTGGCCTGGTGCGAGGCCGTTTCACGCTACGGTTACATCGCGACTGATCGCGATCCTGCATCGTGCTCGCATGCATGCATGCCTCCTTAAAACTAGTTTGGAGACACACGAGTCTCTGTGTGTGTCTCCGGCGCGCCGGACGGAGCAAGCGCATATTTATCGATCCATCGCTTTCCAGTCACACACTATCCACAAACAATCAGCTATACCACTTCTCCGGTGCTGTGCACCAATGGCGGATCCCCGTCGTCCCGAGGAATCTGGAAGAATCGTCCTCGTGTTCGGAATCCCGACATGACGTCACTCAGAACTGCCGTCAACAGTTGCGTCATCGTTTCGATATATTCAAATATGTGCTGTATCTGTGATTTTCTTGCACTTGTATTCATTTTCAGGAATCGGAAACAGCCACCCTCGCATTTTAACTCCTAACGATGTCGTAATGAAATGCCTTGTCGTAAATATTGCTTTGTCATTCAAACACTGCACTGTGACATTTATGACTATTTCTTACATTTTGAGTGTATTCTTATTTTTTTCTCTTTAGTAACTTGAAAGATTTCGTCTTTATACTCAAGATTTATTTTTTCAATAATTTTATTTTTTAGTTGCTACATCAAATTAAGCTATTTCTAAAATATATGCATTTTTCTTATTTTTTTAGATATTATTTGTAGAAATTCCTACAATTGAAAGCATATATATATATACGCGCGACAGACAGTATTCAATATGTTTCCTTGCAAGTGACGTCATACACTGGCAGTTATATAGGCATCGGTTACGTCAATCAACAGCTGATATCTACGGGAAACTTCTGGTTCATTCATGAATTTATGACGCATTTATGAGGAAGTTATATTGCTGCAATTGCTTCCTTTTCGCACAATTTTCGCGATTTATGGATAATTCGCTTTTATACGCTATAATTCGATGATAACAATAATTTAAGCGCGACGATATTCCGTCAATTTCCATTTTGTGCACCGAGCCCATTAAAATGTTATGTCAAGCATAATTATCCTTTGACCTGGTTATAAATTACGCGTATAGATCACAAAGCGATATCGAACAAACTTTTATTTTCCACTAGTTACTGAATTCTGCAATTATTTTTAGCTTCCAATAAAATAATTAAAGCAATTTTAATTCTTATAAAGTTTCTTTTATTATTAATTGTAATAATTGTCACAATTTTCAATTTTTTTAAATTATGTAATATATGTTTATATTATATATAAGTTTATTATTTCTATTTCGTAATAATAATCAGGCGTTTAGAGTCTATCATTTTAATTACTTTTTCATAATTTTATGTTATGCGTAATCTCCAAACTTTAATATTTAATATGAAAACTTTATTTCATGTTATAAATGTCGATCAAAGTTTAAATGTCGTGATGCAAATTCATTAGTTCCCGAGAACTATATTTGAGCTGCGAGCAATGCTTGTATATTTGATGCTATTTATATACTGAAACTTCCACGAACGCGTAGGAAAATTGATATTGATTATCTAAATTTATTGGTAAATATTAATTCTAAAAGTAAAAATAAAGTTTAAAAGTGTATACGTAATATTTTACATAACATTTTTATACGTAATAGAACAGTTATATTTTTAACGTCGAGTTTAAGATAGCGTTATTAAAAGATAGAAAAGACATTGATCATCTCGCATTCAATTTTTGTAATCATGTCTTTATTCTGAGGATATTAGGTTGAGATTTTTTCCGAGAATTCAATTACGTCATTTTAGATCGGGTTCTATTTTCGACCAAACCAAACATTTTTACGACAGTCGCATTAGTGTATAGCTCATATTTCCATTCCTTTTATAATACCGCGAAATTCTTATACTTTACCACGTTTTAATTTGTTCAATGCTTAGTTTACTTGCGCAATATCGTGTTAGAATTACGTGTTGGCCATGAAAAAATGATATAATGAGAAAAAAAACATAATTACATTGATTGATAGCTTGATAGTCTGTGCAAACATATTGAAATCAAAACAAACCTGTAATTATATTAATTAGCTAGATGATGTAATAAACTTCAATGATAAGTTGAAAAAAATCTACACATTCATAATGAGAACTGATTCGTTATTTTCAGAAAAAAAAAAAATATCACTTCTGTTACGTTCTACGGAAGTATCGGAATTACGATCTCTATTGATTC